GGGTTCAAGTTGTATATAGAGATTTCTGTATATTTAGTAAATTGAATAAGTGGGACTTATGGCCAGTAATATGTTTTGCAACAATGGTACCCGGATCTACAACCCCAATGAGCAAAACCAAACTGTTCACCTTGCCATGTCCATCCTGTAATGAGACCTAAGTTGCACCTGCCTGTAGTTCTGCATGATTGGACTTCCAAATATAATTCACAATGACCAGGAGTGTAACCTCTCAGTGTTGATAAAAGTAGTTTTTATCTCTTTCTCTCTCTATATATATACGTATACGGAGAAAACAAACACACACACACAAAGCAAGAGCTACTGTTCAGCATCAAGACTGGAAGACGAAAAAGTGTCCAACTTCATTGCGAGGTCTTAGTTTTGAACGTGATAAGTCACAACCACTGAATATGGATGATGAACTGACAAATGTGACATTTGATAAGGAAATGAACATAGTTCCATTTTGTTTACTTTTCCAGCCATTTTTCTTTCTACCTTTCATTGTTTGCTGTGGGTGGTGCAAGGGGGATTGGAGGGTCTTGGCTTTGTTCATCAACCTTTTGTGGATCAGTGTTGAGTCGATGCATTCTAACTTCTGTTTGTTTTCAGTTATTAAAAGCAGAAGGGAATCTATTTTCCCCTTTGTGCCAAAAAAAGAAAAAATTCCTTTTGGAGTTCTTGTCTAAATATTTTGTGTGTTGTTGTCTTAATTATTTGGGGTTCTGTTCTATGTGGGCAATGATTTCCAAACCATTCAACAGAAATTCAGATATATCTAAATCCAACATCCTGAGACCAAGAGGGATTTCTAGTAAACCACTGGAGTAAGGAGAGGCATTCATGGGTATGCAGTGATAAGATTATTCATCTTACTTTATATATTATTTTCAGGCCATTTTCCTATCAAGACGCTTGTGGAGTGGCTTAGGACACAATCCTATGTCCTTTTACACCAAACCAAACCACACCACACCACACACCACACCAAACCAAACCAAAAACAAAGTCTGACTGCTGCTAGCAGTCCCCTGCATCCTGGGAGTTGTAGGACTTTTTTCTTCTCAGGGATTCTCTAAATAAGTCTTGAACTGCCACTTTACCAAGCCTCCTGCTTCTGAATTCTTTTGAATATACAGACCTACATATGTGCATAAAACAAAATCGTAGGCAGTGTCATGCTTTATCGGACTGTACCAGCACCCTGTTCACATGGTGGCAAACCAGCTGCTCACAGGATCCCCCAAGCAGGATGGGTGTGAGACCTCCGCCAGACCAAGCTCCTCAGTGGCTGGGCTATGCAGGCATCTCAGCTCTGCAAAAGGAGGTAACACATAGCCAGCAAGGCTAGTAGCCCCTGGTGGCCTCCTCCTTCATGAATCCATCCAAGCCCCTTTTAAAGCCATCCGGATTGGTGGCCTTCACCAATTCTCATGGCAGCAAAGCTCACTTTTTCACTATATGCTGAGTGAGGAAGTATTTCCTTGGGTCTATCCTAAACTCCCCCCAATTGGCTTCATGATTGCCCACAAGATCCTCTTTTCCCCTGCCGTTCCATAATTTCCATTACGGAAGCACAAGGTGGCATTGCAGTATAGTAAAACTACAAAAATACACAAGCTTTTTATTCCTTTCCATTCTACCATTTCCAGATAATTTTCCTCACTTAAGCAAGTGATTCCCAAGCTGTGGGAATGCTTGGAAAACGCAGGAGACGTCGTGTAATGCGCCTGCAAATTACTGTGAAGGAGGAATCAGAAACATTTAGCCTGTGTCTCATTAAGAGAAGCCCTAGACATGCATAAGACTGCATCTTTACAGACAGACACTTTAAAGTAAAATTAAAACCCTGCCTGTAAAACAGTACACATTCAAACAATGAAGCAGGGCAGCAAAGACCAGAATCATGCCGAATCACAGGAATAGCATTCCAGCAGCAAAGGGAATGGGGGAAGAGTCGGGTATTTATGAGCCAGGCACCTGGCAAAAGAAAATGCTTCTTCGGGAGTGCTGAATGCTTGTTCTGTGGAAGCTGTAGGTTCCCTACCCTGGGTACATTTGCAACATTGAGAGAATATTTTATGCACAAAATGGCAGCCGCTGGGGGACTTCTTGCTCGCAAGTGGTGTCTATTGTGGGTGTGGCCATTCACAAACCATCCAATTCCCAGAAGACAAATTGGTGAAACTGTCAGAAAAGCTACATACCCCAAGAATCTACTCATGAAGCAGAGGGAATGTTTGGATCTCAAATACCAAATCACATACTTGTCTCCACAAAGCACAATAGAATGCCCATTACACAGAGAGCCAGCTGGTGATATTCAGAGAAACACATTCAAGCCGAATGTATCACCCCAATGCACAAAACCAAAACTTACATCCCAGCAAAAAGTTAGAAAATAAAAGAAGGGTGGTCCAAGTTACTTTTACTGGGGAATAGTGCCGTCTGAAGTGGTGCAAAAATTCTGGCCGCAAGAGCAAAGCCAAGTCCATCAGCACTGGACTTGAATCTTCAGGGCAAAGCACCCCTTTCCAAACAAGGCACCCAAGCCCAGGTTTCCTACTGACCAAAAGTGCCTTTACCTGGTCTGGAAATTTTCCATTTATTAGCATACATCCACTCCATCACTGAGTCGGAATAGTGATTCAGAACACCCACTGCTTTGCTAGATATGGACCATCCCTCAGGGAACCAAGGCAGTTTCCAAGTCTCCAGATGGACCTGGGAGCAGACTGTATGCACAGAAGCACTCCTTGTTATCGCTCACTGTACAGTCATGGCCTGAGCAGATTGCAGGGCTAAGTTGCAACTCCTCAGCACAGCTGTTAAAGAAGTTACCAGCTCGTGCCTTCGCCAGCTCTGACAGGATGGCAGGAAATGGAAAGATTGTCTGAAACAGAGAGGGTGGATGACCTGGTGCTCCTGCTTCCATAAATGAGTGCTTGACCCATGAAGTCTGACTGCTCAAGAAACCACTCCTGATTGTGGGAGTATTGATCCTACCTGCTTGAAGAGGCAGAACCACAGTGATTCTGTAGGGCAATTACCTGCTATTACATCCAATTTATTTATCATTTTATATTGTGCCAGTCAGTTTTGGATCATCTCTGTCATGATCTTCAAGCCGTAGGGAAAACTTGCTTTCAGGATAGCGGGACTCAGAACAGGACTGTTGCAAACCTTTCCTCATCTAGCTCCACCCACCCTTATTTTTCAGTACGAACATGGCAGAGTCATTGATGAACAGATTCCTTGATTGTTTGCCCTGCATCTCTGTCGATCCTTCTGGCAGGGGATGATTGGAGGATATTAGGCTGCAGGGGACTGGGGGAGAGTCTGCTGGTCAGTGCAAACAATACTCTGTTCGGAGGACCAACGCTCTGTCTTAGTATAGGACAGCAAGCTGTCTGTGTTCCCTGCAACACCTGTTCAGTTTCCAGGGCTGATGGTGGATAGCCCATCATTCTGAGCATCATTTAAATTCTGGGACTGGTTAGTACATACAAGCAAGTCACTTACTAACAGCAGTGTGAAGTCATGAGTTGCACATCCATGAGAGATGAATCTCCAAAAAGCCTTCATGGTACCAGCATACGTAATGTCTCGGAATATTCCAGCCTCCTCCAAGCCTGTGTCTTCCAGGGATGCTGGAGAAAATGGGAAGTTGTGATCTAGAGGACAGAAGGGCAAACCAGTTCTCCAGTGTATCCTGCCTCCCACAATGCATTCTGCCCTAGGAGACTAGACAAGATGGTTCCTTTGGATGCCATGATTCTGGGCCCTTATCACTGGTTGCCCTCCTGAGGGCCCAAGGAATGTGGCAATGTGTCCTAGGAAAAACAAGACAGCTGTCTAAAATGGCTGTGGAAGAAGAATGACTGAGCAGGGATTAGGTGTGAGGGTGAAATCCATTCAGTCCAAAATTTTATCTAAAAATTTGCTGTACACACTTGCTGAAGCTATACATGGGCCAGACCTACACTCAAACGTATCCAAATACACTGGGGTGTCAGATCCATACTTTCCAGAATTTCCCAATGCAATTTGCAACTCAAACAATGTGAAGAAAAAATGTGTGGGTTTGGGTAAATTATACAGAAATCCACTTTCAGTTAAGGAAAAACTGCTTGCAAAAAGTGCACACTCAGACAAGACATACAAAAATGTCTATATTCTGAGAAGAATGCACAGAAATGAATATGAATATTCATGCAGTTGTTTTTGAGACCAAGTTTGCAAACTGATTTTGAAGCAGGCTGAAACAAAGGGCTGACCAGGAAAATGACCAACTGTGAAAAACCAAAAGAGATACGTTTATTCAGTCCTGCTCAGGACGGAGACCATAGTGCATGGATTTTTAAAAACCTTTCACCTCACAAGGACTGGGTTCACCTAATCACCTGCACTTAGGAGTTGAATATGGACGACTGCTGGACTGTGGGTGATTGAGCTGTCAGAACCCAGCTGTGCTGCAAGCCATACTATTAACCATGAAGAACCCATGAGAACTCCTGGCATATCGTTGGATTGTGAACTGTGGATTGTTCATCAGGTTTGTGATCTTAGGTGGGTTCAGGCAACATAACCTGAATTTCACCAACAACCCACAGTTCGATGACAACTTACTTGAGTGTATGTGATTGTGTTGTCTGAACCCATTCTCTGCATTTCTGATGAAAATCTTTCCTTAAAGCTGCTACTTTGCAAGGGAAGAAAAATCCCACTGGCAGATGGAGGAGGAATCTTTGGCAGGATCACGACATGGGAAGAAACAACTCTTCTCTGTAGCGCTCTAGACCTGATCCTGACTCATGCCCCCACCCACAACTGCTAATAACTTTCCCTCTCAGCACAAAATGATGACTGAACGATAGTGCCATTCTCCAGAACTGCAACGCCTTTGCATGAGAGGACTATTTGCATCTGCCTGCGCACAGAACTGGACTGGGCTTTATTTCCAATACAAAGAAAAGAGTACAAACTTAATAGATGCTCATGTTATATTTTTATAAAATTATTTACAGGGTGTTTTTTGGTCATGGGCAAATCAATTGGCACAAACAGCACGGTCACACAATATCTTTTTTTAATAGCTAATAGCTAACTATATATATATTTATATATATAGTTATATATATATAGTTATATATATATATCTTAATTCCCCAGCGAGAGGGGCAACCAAATAAAAATTAATTTATAAAATAAGCTGATGGTAACACAATGCCAAAAATAGCTTATTATGTTAAGTAAGTGCAAGGGAGAAAAAGCCTTGATATAAAGCTTGATTGCAATGAAGTTCCATTTGCCAGTTTAAATATAAGACTTGCATTAAAATAATTTTTCTTGTCTCTTCCTACTCTGCCCCAACCCCCAGGGTGACCTATTTAAAATCTATATACACAAACCCAATTGTAACACTTAACAGTAGCAGTATGACACATTCAGGGAATATGATTTCTCAATTAAAAAGTACACACAGCAGATGCAATTGATTGTTTGATGTAGACATGGTGTCTTCTTTTGAGGGTTGACAAGGTCATGTTGAGTGCTAGCCTCAGTCAGGTGACCAGTCACCTGTTACAATATAATATCCCAACAACCCTCTTCCCAGAATCCCACAGTCTTGGTTAGCAGCAGTGTTCATTGGATCCATATGGTGTTCCCTCTTTCCGGCCTCCGTGGCTCTACCGTCAGTTCCCCAAATGTTGAGAAGAACTGCTCCATCTCCTTCTGCAGCATGTCATTCCTCTTCTCAGCGTCTTCTTTGGCCCGCTCGGCATTGCGCATTTTGATTTCTACCATTGTAAACTTCTTCTTCTCTTGCTCTAGTTCATCGTGCAGGCTCATCATTTCTGTCTCCAGGGAAAGATTCCTCTGTTCAAGGCTGGAGGAGCACAAACAGAAGGGGAGGGTTGAGCGTACAACTCAGCACACGACCCGTGAAGGCCGCTTTCCAGAATCTGGATCTATTGCTGCTCAGAAGCAGGGAGGATGGACTTCCCTTGGCAGAAGTGATGCATCAGTTTCATGCATCACAGTAGCATTAAAAGAAATGTTCTGCCATGCCAGGAATTGCCTTCAGGGCCTGCTGTTGGGGACTCTCAGCTGCGGGGTATATTTCTGGGCATGTGAAAATGGAGGCCGAAGTGATGGTGGGAAATTTGCAAGCAGCCTCGAGCCTTTCTGAGCATTGGAATGGAAAATCTATAACAGCTTGATTGATTTTGGGGCGAGCAATAAGATGCTTGTGCATACTCGTCTGTGATGGAGTTCTGTGCTCTATGGCTGAGATAGGCTTAGTAAATTTGGTGCTAAACTTCAAGCTTTCACTTGCAATTTCATTCCCAATGGCCAATAGCAAGGAGTTGGCTTTGTGTTCTACTCTAGCCAGTCCACTGCTGGATTTGGCCAAAGGACAGTGCAATTTACCCTTCTGTTTCAAACCGTGACCAGCCAGATACCCCTGGAGAGCTCATGTGCCAGACCTAGGCTTGATGGGCATCTATTGCTGTACATCTCCAGTCTTAAAACTACCCTGCCTTTGAACATGGACATTCCATCTCCAGTTATCAACGATCTCCTCCATACTTCTTTTAACAGCCAGTTATGATAATGGCTATAACATCACCTTGGGACAAAGAAGTACACCCTTGCCTCCTTAGCTGAATCTCTTGACATTGTCTTTCACGGTAGAAGCCTTGGTAATATGCATATGAATGATCTCCTGATTTGTCAGTAGCAACAACCAAATTAAAGTGGATTCCTGCAGAAATCAATAATGAGTGGCTATAGTTTATATATATTCCACACTCCACAGGTTTATTTTGTTTTTTGCTTTGAGGAGGGTTGCTCCTTACAAACAAGCTTCTTTTGTTTGTAGTCAAGGCTGTCAGATAATTAGTTTTCATGTTACCTAAATGGAAGCATGACCCTTGTACTTTAGTGAATTACAACCATGCTTGGACCTAAAGCAACCACCCTGATTAATTAGTGCAGCATCAGAAAGGCAGATCATATGGGACTAATGGAAAAATATTTTGAAAATCTCTTGTGTTAGGGGTGGGGAGTGGAAATTATTTGAAGAAACTGAGCACGATCGTTAATTCTTAATAACACAATTTTTCTGCAATTACTTCTTGCTGGAGAAAGTAGCAGTGCTTGTGAGGCTGTTCTAAATCCCCCAAGCCTGTGGCTTTAAAACAAACCCAGTCCTGTTTAATTTTACTCCTCCATGGCCATTCCTCACTTTCCTTTTCTTGTGAATCCTCCCTGCTACGTCGTCAGAATCTGCCAAACAGGATGGTCTCCAGCACCTCACCCGAGAAATGTATCAGCCCTCCCCAGAGGGAGCCCCACTTCGCACAAACGTGCACACAATACTGTACACAAATAGGTGCAAATTTAGAAAGGAAGTTTTCAACTGGAAAAGAAATTCAGCACGCCTCTGCACAACAAGGAAGACAGTGAGCATGTGGCCTGCGCAGGCCACTGCCAAGAACCTGTTGAAAGGTAACATCAAGGACCAGAGATGTGCTGAGCCTCTCCAAATTTGGATTGCGCCTGCCCGTTGGACTCCTTCCAGCGCTCGCCCCGCTCTAAGAAAGCGAGCTACACTTGAAAGAAGTCTGTGAGTGTTCACAGACCGCCAGGTGAGCAACTGGGAGCCTTCCCCCGCCACCATCCCCAGGTGGGCCTGGAGGAGGGCGCTGCATGTGATGCTCGTGGGGCTGGATTCGTGGCAAGGGTCCCACAACCCTGGGCGGGCTCCCCAGCAGCTCAGAGTCTGGGCTGCTCCACAGCAGACTGGGCTCCAGGAAGCCGAAACCAAGGAATCCAGCAGATCTTCTGCCTGGAGCGGATTCCTTGCATCAAGGACACTCTGCTCCCCTCTTCTGCTTCTCTGACTTTGAACTAGACTTGGGCAAGGCAGTTCTTCAAGGAGAGGATGACTTCGGAGAGAAGGCTCCTTCTGCAAAGGAGAGTGTACATCCTACCTGGCTGAGAAGGAGAAGAAACGGGTGTCACACACACCACGCTGGCCCATAGCTAAGATGATGTGTGAGCTGAGTGCTTGATGGAGTGTGCCAGAAGAAGTGCAGGGCCCCCGTACACCCTCTTTGCTCTTTGAAGGAGAGGAATGATGAGAATTATGCTTTTGCAGGTAGAGGCCGCAACTGAGGAAATGGCCCAGAGGAGCCAGGTTTCAGGGAAGTGTTCCACTGGAACCTGGAATTACTTGAAGCACGGAATAGCTCTCATGACTTGGTGAATGCAGCTGCCAAGTTAGCTGGGAAAACAGGCTGGCTTGATGGGCCAAGTCATGTTAAAGATGGTTCAGAACTCGGCAGCACCTGAACTTCTAAAGGTACCTCTGTCCTTCCTTTAAAAAGAGAGGTTTTTAGTTGATCCTCTCTTTGATCTTTTGAATCAGGACTTGGGTGGTGGTGGGGGGGGGGGGCTACAGTAAAGCCCCTTCTATTTATTGGGGAACTTCATCACAAAATGCTCCTACTGCTGTTGGGACACATGTGGAAAATGGCATCTTGTGTTACATGCAAATGCCATTGCAGAAAAAGGAGGAGGAGCTGGAATGGCGATGTGTGAAGGAAAATGGACCTTTAAAACAAAGTTGTTGCTCGCCCCCCCCCCATTCTATGGCCCACAGCTGCAAAGGTGCAAATGAGCAGGTATTTTAAAAAAGAAAACAACATGACAGCTCCTCTGGCCCCCTCGCAAAGAATCATGGAGAAGCAGGAGATGGGTAGGCATGTCGCTACATGTTATCCAAGCCAATATGATGTAATTCTGAGTCAGCACCACTGAAGATCCTCAGATTTACTTCTGGGTGGAAGCAGAACTGCAGCTTCTCTCCACTGCACCAAGAAAGTCAGAGAGAGAAGCTGCGCAGGGCAGGGAGGCGGGTGAGGAAGACGGGAAACCCCTGAAAGGCCGATCAAGTCGCTGCAGCTTCTCTGAAGCTCAACGGGACACGTCCTTCTGAGCTTCACTGTCTGTCAATCTGGCAGCCCCCTGAAGCCACTCTTGCTGTCCCCGGCACTGGCTGCAAATTTACCTGGACTACACAGCATGGACAAGCGCAAGCTATAACAAGGTTGAAGACTGAGCCAGAACTGGTCTGAAGAACTTCAGGATGTAGGGGCAGAAATGGAGGCGGAGGAGAGTTTGGGGTTGGCATTATTTGACATGCCAGTGAATCGGGCATTGCCGAGTCGATAAAAATGTCCCCCTCCCCAGAAATGCCCTTCAAAGGTCGATGACCACCAGGAGGGTGGGCAGAATGAGCTCTGGAGGGGCCCATCAGTGGTTAGCCAGCTGAGTCACTGACTTCCCCACAGCAATGTTTCTGCATACATTCCCACAGCTGTTTCAAAATGTGCCTCTCCTGCTCTATCCTATTCAATTAGCACTGGCACTGCATTTAATGCACAGCTGTGCTCTTTTCCGCCCTCCTATTTGGATGGCACATGACTTGGTTTTCAATGAGGCAGATGCGGCGAAGCCTCAGGTAAGTTCAGGCAGCCAATACTAGAGGGACACTTCGCAGAGGACTGGTCTGGCCCATTTCAAGAGGCGAACTGAAACATGATTCCAGACAACCAGGGGCAGGAGCATCTGAGTCCCAGGCAGCTGGTGGCAGCTGCTGCTTCGGGGTGTAACGCACAACGCCACAAGGGGATGCTAGCCGCGAGAGGGCCAGGCTCTTGCTCACCTGGTGCCCTGGGGCTCGTTCCCTCTCGCCACCTTTCTTGCAGATGGGGACTCACCATCTCCGGATGCCCCACTGGGTCTCCGGCAAGGTGCACAGGCCATGGGAACGCCATGTGGCCATAGGCTACCTGGCAGGAAACTATTTCTTATTTATTGTAACACATTTATTATATTTATAGTCAGCCTTTTCTCCTGCAGGGAACCCAAAGTGGCTTACATAATCCTCCTCCTCCTCTTCATTTCATCCTTAGAGCAAGCTTGTAAGGTAGGCTACAGTCAAGGACTGGCCCAAAATCACCTGCTGAGCTTCTTGGCTAACTGGGGACTAGTAGTTGGGCCTCCCAAGTCCCAGTCCAACACGGTAATAAGTATGCTACACTGCTTCTCTTGTGTGTATGTTATATTTATAATTTTGATGCTGCCTAGAAAATTTAACCCACCAGTCCCTGCCCCACAAGGATGCATGATGCCTCTAAAACCACAAGGTTGCAACCAGTGCAACTTCCTCAGCATTTCTGAGCATCAGAGCAAACATTGCGACTCTTTCCCCGCAACCTTGGCTTTCCATGCAGGCAGCTCAGTGCTCTGATGTGCTGACGCCCTTTTGGAAGCTCATTTGCAAAGTTCTATAATGTGAATCAAAGCGTCCTGAGCTCATTAAAACTCACGCTATGAATCAGAAACAGGAGCAACTGCAGAGGGGACTTTTGCTGCTTCAGCCACTGAGAAATACACACTCTTTCTTGCGTGTCTCAAGCTCTGTCCCTCGGTAGTCAGCGAAATACATTTTCTGATAGTCGTTAGCATTTACAGCTGGCTTTTTAGATCACTTGGTGGCAAAACAGAAGATGTGAGTGAGGTATAATCCCCTGAGAGATAAATTAAGCCAAATGCTAAGATGTCTTCTGACCTTTTTTCTACCTCATTGTTAATGCAGCGCTTCATGTCAGAGCATATATAATTTAAATGATTTTTCCTTGGGATCTGAGTGAAAGGTTCAGTGCAATGATCTTAGCTCACCTGACTAGTAAATTATATATTGGGGAAGGTGTCTATCCAGGGGAGAGAGTGAGTCACTCAATCTAAAACTTTTTGAATTGGCTTACTTGGATTTGAGTGAATGGCTAATGTGCTCCTCTTTCGTACTGCACGGGTATGTGCATGCTTTTGACTGCGATCTACTACAGTGCCCACACAACAACATGTGGTAACTCTGCTTGGACTCAGTGAAGGATTAGATGAATTCATAGCGGACGAGGATGTCCATTGCTGCTACGAGTCACGATGGTTACTGGTAGTTCTCAACGGTTATCATACGAGTGCCCTCCAGGGGTTGGCAGAATGCAACTCCCTTGAGTCCCCATTCCCATAACCGGTGATGGAGGCTGATGGAAGTTGCAACGCATCTGTAACATCCGGAGGACCACATTCTTCCAGCATGACTGTACACAGCACTCTGCTGGATGCATAAATGACCTGGCCTGGCATTAGGTCGCTTCCTATGGAACCGCCCCTCAGCACGAATGCGACTGACGGAAGCATCTGGTATCAGCGCACACTGCCACTCTCCCTCTGCAGTGCCATGGACAAGGTCCTGGGCTGTGGCGGTCTCCTTTAGCACCATTTCCTTGTGAGCCCTAGAAGGGGAGCTGACCGGAGCCCCGCAGCTTACCTTTTTATCCTCGTCTCATACTCCAGCTTCTGCTTTGCCATTTCTTGCTTTAAGCTTGAGACGAGGCTGTGCAGAGCGCTGTGGTTGCTCGTGCTGTTGACGACGAACGTCTCGCTGTTGTCGCTGCTGCTGGTGGCCCGGCTGCTGCGCCCGCCCATACTTCTCCGGTCACCTTTGCTCTCATAATCGGCTTGGTTGGAGAGGTCTTCATGTTGGGGCTCGTCCAGCACAGGGTCTTCAAAATTGGGCCCGTAAAAGTCTTGCTCAGGGCAGGTGGTGGTGGAGGACCGGCAGGAGTTGGAATGTTCGGGGAGGGATATTTCACAAGAGGAGGTGGACCACGTTGCGCTGTCCACACTTTGCTTATCTTCAGCGTTCACCACAGAGAACTGCTGGTGGACGTTGTCGTAGGTGGAGAGTCTGTTATGCTGGCCTGAGTCACTCATGGGCTCCTTTTGTTTGTTGTCCCTGAACGTCACGTACCCATTGGGCACCCAGGTCTGGTTGCGGCTGTTCAGGGAGTTGCTATGGGGGTCGGTGCTGGAAATACCCATTCGGACACCTCCGTTCTGCACACTGTGTGTGCCCATTTTGGTGACTGGCCCTTTCAGGGAAGCTGTTCTTCTAGTCTGCAAAGTACCGTTGGGTAAGGCTGGTGACGTCTTCTCTTGACCTTCCATGGAGCTGCTGAAGGACCCATTGGTGACTATGCCACTGCCTTTATTAAATGCTGGATTTTTTTTCACCATGAGGGGTGGGCTTCTGGTGATGTCCAGTTTGTGAATGCTGTTTCTTGGGCTACTGGACTTGCTCCCAGGCTGGGCAGTAGGGGACCCATTGTCCACAACGGTTCTTTGAGGAGATTCAGGTTTATCCCAGGAACAGTGCCTCACCGGTGACGACTCCTTGGTGTTGTTGTTCTCTTTGTTCTGGAGCTGACCCATGATCGCTTTCTTTTGGATCTCGTTGTTGTTATTACACACTTCCTGTCCACTTTGGAGATCTGCCTCCTTGGGAAAGAGCAGCTCATGCTCGCTGATCATCATGGACATCAACTGCTGGACCACAACCGTACCTGGAAGAAAACACAGTTATACTGCAGCTCGAGCCCAGGTAAACATGTCGCATTAATGTGGGTCTACTGCGACAGTGTTTTTTCTGGATTCATCTTGTATGAAAAAGAAAAGCAAAGGAAACCAATCAGTTTCTTTGACAATGCCATTCATCACCATTTGTTCCTCTTTCTTAATTATTATGAGTAAAGCACCATTCATGTATGCATCATTTTACAGTGAAATGTAAGTGAACGGTGGAAGGGCATAGCAACACCTGTCCCAAGGAGTAAACAGTTCGTTTTTTTACAATGCGGGGAATCAACAAAGGGAGTGGTGATGCACTGAATCAGGGAAAGTTGGTTCATATGACCTTGATAGATTTCCTGTTCACTTCAGACTGGAAGTGGGCTAGGTTGCAAGGAATTTTTTTTTGGGGGGGGGTTGAATTTCTGTCTCTAAGATGGCCCACAAATTGCAGATTTTTAAATTGCTAACTATATTTGCACAAATAAACACCTGAATACCATCTGGCTCTCTGGAAAGACCACTGACTGCGGGTATGCAGAAAGAAAAATCAACTGTGTAAACAGATTATATTTGTGACATGAATTGTGCAAACAGAAAAAAGAGGAATTAAGATCAGAAAACAAGTGTGAAAGAAAAAATGATTGTCTGGTGAGAACTGGGGGAGAGATCACAAGTAATAGATTTGCATTTGTGTCTAGGAGGAAAAGGAAAAATGTGTGGAGATGAAAAGTTGGGTGGACAAGAAACATGCATCTTCATGCTTTAATCGATGGGGAAAGGAATGCATTTGGGTGCACATGTTAAACGAAGGGTCTCCTTTCTTGGTCAAATAGGCAAAAAGAGATGCTTGCAATCAGGAGTTGGAACACAGTGAACTGAAGTGGATCTCGGTAATCTAGATGATCTTGAGCCTGGCTGGATAATTTCCCTTTTTTCCTCAAATAGTTCATGGAGTTCCCTGGACCCTCATTCTCCCAATGCATTTTGATGCTTCATGAGTTCTGCAGTATTAATACAGTCAGTCTGTCATGTCAGAACATGGTAAATATTGAAAGATCATATGCAGCAGCTTCAGAAACTCAGGGAGAATGTCAACAGTGAAAAGAAATAAAAGAGCTGGAAGATGAATGATCTAATTATGGTTTATGAGGCTCACTTCAATATGACTGGAGCCTCAAATGGCATGTAATTGGTAGGACTCAGGAGGAACTCAGGGCACCTCCTACACATTTTTGAAATATTTAGGTTTGTCCACTGGAGAAGCACATCATATCAGAGCTGTTCAGTTAACTGAATATAAATATCATTAACCACTCCAAAATGGGATGCAGCCACCAAGTGGCATCAGTCCTTCAGTACAGAATATAAGACTGCTGATGCTATAGATCAAAGTTAGGACGGGGTTCAGTTTTAAATGCACACTAAGAGATGTGCATGTCTTTCTGCAGAGGCCTGGAGCACACAAGCCCCATGACTTTCTTTCCAATTTAGGGAGCATCTCTTTGGAACTTGGCCTCCAGCAAGACATGAGGGCTTTCTTCTTGTCAATCCTTCTAGAAAAAAAGTTAGAGGGTTGTAATCGCACTGCTGTTTCAGCCATTTCCCTGGGGGACACTCTTGAGCAGCCCTGTCCCGCTTGCTGGTAGAGCTTAGAGCTGAATGCTGTGCTTCTTTCCTTCAAATGCAATGGCCTCAGGGCATTTGCAACCACATCCCAGAGTGAAGCTGAACTCAGGACATGACTCAGCCAATCAGATCTGGCTGCCTGCTGATGTCACTGTGGGCAAAGATGCCATTCAGATTGAGGCCAGTGGGTGAAGTGGGTGAAGCAAAAGCAGTCACCCAAAAGGAAAAGAAAAGAAAAGAAGCCCAGACTACACCAGGCACCTCCCCAGATCAAATGTCAATACAGATGAACAGTGCAATTCTGTACATGTGTATTAAATTTTAGGCCTATTGAATTCAATGGGAGCCAGTGTGGTGTCGTGGTGAAGAGCACAAGACTGGGAGTCAGGCAACCCGGGTTCAAGTCCCCGCTCAGCCATGGAGCCCACTGGGTGACTCTGGGCCAGTCACAGACTCTCAGCCCAGCCTACCTCACAGGGTTGTTGTGGTGGGGATAAGATGGAGGAGGAGAATGATGTCAGCTGCCTTGAGCCCTTGGTAGGAAAAAGGCAGGGTATACATGATAATAATATCCCAATGCACAAGTGTACCACAACATGGGCCCCTTCAGATGTTGTTGGATTACAGTTCTCATCAGCCCCAGATACACGGCTAATGGTCAGGGATGGTAGAAATTGTAATTCAAAATATGTAGAGGGTACCAGTTGGTGAAGGAAGGAATTCAGGATTGTAGCCTCAGAGCTTTGAAGGACTGATGTCACTGCTCAGAAGGATGCTTTTTTGTATGGGTTTTTTTTTGGCCAAATGCATATCAGAATGAGTCCTGACTCTTGATAGCCTGCAGGATGCTAATTACAACCTTTATTTCTACATAAATTATACTAACAGTGATCAGGCTTCTCTGATTTAATGACTTATGGGGAAATACATGCAAAAATATTCTGGCTGAAATATTGGTGATTGGAAGTGCACTTTGATTTACATGCTGTCCTTCCTTCCCTCTCTAATTGGCAAAATAAATCATTAGTTGATAAGACGGATGTACATCCACGGAAGAAACTAACAGCCAAATATTTAGATCTTTTCAATTATGTGGAATGCCAGGCAGGGCATTTATCTGCATAGTTAGAGTGTCTTTAAATCTCAGCAGTTGGATGCTAATAACTTGTGAGGAATGTAAGAACTGTCATTACTGCATCGGACAAAAGCTCTTCTAATCCACGGTGGGGCAGATGTCTGCTTTGTGGTAGCTATTTTTCACTGGAGCCTGGTCAAATGACAGACACACAAACAATTCTAAGCCTGGGACTTTGTTTTGTGAGTAAGAAATGGGGAGAACTCACAGCCCTTCTGCAGAAAAATCCACCCCTTGTTACTCCAGGTTTTCTTCATTGCAGAAGTTACAACTTAAGGTGGCAGCAGGGGGAAGGAATCGGTTCTTGTTAAAGCCAGAAACCTTTACTGAGCTACTACACATTTTTGAGTAGACCTAAATCTACCTTCTGCCTCCCCTGATCTGATCCACTTTGAAACTGTGGCTGGCCAGAAGTCCACATGCAACTTCCAACTAGAGATGGACACGTCCTTAACTTTTGCTTATCTGTGAATTTGAATCTTTAAAACTCCCAGGTTCGTTTCATCCCATATATGAAAAAATGTATGGATTTTGGTAAATTCTTATTCAAAATGCACCAAATCAACAATCTCATACATCTGGTCAGCCACACCCAATAGGTACAGCTGCTTCTGACATGGAATGGGCCATGTTGCACTTGTTTGTCATATAGAAACTAGCTAACAAGGAATTTGGCATCTCCCCACAATCTCGCATGAATGCACAGGGATCCAAACCAACACCTTTAAGAGCAAACCTTTTAAAGACAAACTTTTAAGAACAAACTCAAAGTTCCCTGCTTTGATGGATGAAGCTGTCAGTTTCAGGCTTTCCCACTTTCACAATTTTTGGAGCAATTTATAAAATTTGGTAAGCTCTTATTTTTAAAAAACAACTAAACAAAATTCTCACCTATGAAGACAATTGCCTTCTGCTTATCCTCAATACTGGAATGGATCCGCAATTGTATATGCATATACTCTTTATCTTCCATGACTAATAGCTAATCTCCATAGACAGATATAATTGGTTTTAATACCTGGGGCCAAAAGAAAGATGAGCAAGAGGGTCCTAGATTAAATTAAAGCAGAACTTGGAAGCAAAAATGACAACACTAAGGCTGTCATATTTTGGACACAATTATACTAGGGAAAGTCAAAAGCGGAAGGAGGAAGAGGACGCCCACTATGACCTGACTCTACTTCCTGGACGTGACTTTACCTGCCTTGATTTGCCTGCCATTAGGTGCTTCCAGACTCCTGCTGTGATCACCAAGGAACAACAGAATTATAATCAGTAGCCTAGCAAGTTGATTGTCTGCAGTACAATTAGCTCTTCCAACTCACCTTCCATTATGGTCAGAGGGTCTTCCACTTTGGGACGCAAGATGTTGGGACCAAAGACAGTAGCAAGGTTTTGCACACTCATTTTGTTTATTCCAGAGTAGGACTGCACTTCATCCAGGAACCTGGAAAGACATCCCATGGAGAGAGAGGTGGGCAGGGGGGGAGAGGAAATCCAGGATTAGGGGCTTAGTCATATCTAAATGACAGTGCCAAACTAGACTGGATGGCATTCATGCAATTAGAAGCTGTGTGAATGGCTTTAAAAACTAAATTACAGACACTGCTTATCACCCTGGGTAACCATGTACCGTCTGCTAGAATTTGGATAGTTCTCTCTCCATGCCTACAGTTCTCACTGGAAGCAGGCACCTCTTAATGTGGACAGATTCTTTCTTCCAGTGCCAATCCCAGGCATGAGAATGCCTGTGTGAGGTAATCTGGCTCAGGACTGCAGCTGGGTAATGGGTGATGCCCCCTACCCCCAAGTCCCATTCTGGATCAGCTGGCCCATTTCTGCCAGTTCCTTTCATGCCATTGAAAGTTGTGCCAAGACATCGCATCAGGTTTGGCCTACAGACAGTTTCCATTGTTCTGCATCGGATTTGCCCAAATTTGAAAAAGAAACCAAGAAAGAGAATGCCAGATGCAAATCAAAGGTCAGAATTCTGGAAGAGAGCTAATTTGGAAAACTATAATTATTTTGCTAGATCCCAAGAAGAAAAGCAGCTTAAGTTAATAAATTATAGTTTTTTACTGACTATGTTTGCATGGATTGTGTTGGATCTAGCTTTGTTTAGGGCAGACCCACTGAAATCAACTGGACTTAAAATAAATATTTCAGTAGTCTATTGTAGTTATGACCAAGTATGAATCTAGCCCAATATGTCCCACTGCAACCGACAGAGAACAGGCTAGGACATTTGAACAGAGTTTTACTTTTATTTTTTCATGGCAAAATCTAAGGTGAGAAATGCCTCCGAATCCCCTGCGGGTGTGAAAAAAGAACGTCAGTGGGAAAGGAGTGAGTACAAACCATAGTGAAGACGGGCCGAGTTATCTAAAGCAAAGGCAGGCACTGGGTAGTTCTGCAGATGTTTTAGGCTTGAGTCTACAAATCTCCTGCCAGCATGGCCAGTCTTCAGGAATGCTGGGAGTTGAAACCCCAAACATCTGGAGATCTACTCTCCCCTCACCCCTGCTCTGAAGTATGAAAGGATTTGCAAAAGAAACTTCTCATGACTGAACCAGTCCACTGGGACTCCTCATAAAACTGCTGAGAGAAAACTGCTATCCAAATGATATTGTTGAAAACTATGAAATGATGCTTTGGGATTCAGGCCAGGACATGAGTTACCTGCAAATATACTTCAACAGGTTGAAGTTAACAAGTGGCAAACTCTTCACTTGTTTCACCAATTCATTCAGTCCCTGTGCAAAGAGTGCAAAAAGTATGTTAAACATGCACAAACATTTCAGCAGTAATTGAAACAAAAGACAGCTGACCGATGCACAATATTCTCCACTAAACCACCCTTTATACATTCTTCATCCAGACTGTGGTGGGCAGTTGCTGAAACAGGGTGGACAGATTACAGCTGCCATTATTTCAGGGTAGCAATAGGAGGTGGCCACTGCCTCAACATTAGTGCCACCCTGTTGCCCACAGACACAACCCTAATCAGACAGGAGACTACCCAAGCTGCCCAGTAGCTGAAGCGCTCAATATCTTCCTCCCACTACCCCATCTGAAGAAGAGAACTTTTCTCACTGCTTTTGGGACATTTTTGTTCATCCTGATAAAGGCGTTCCTTCATTGCTACTTCTGGATTTTTTCCTAATGCACCAACAGGTCTAACCATTTTTGGTCCAAATTTCCTGGTTCAGCATTTTAGTGCTAAACCTGAAATACTGACACGATGCCCTGAATGAGCCTGACAGATGGGATGACACAGGAAGCATGCTGTATACTGAGGGCTGAGGACAGACCACCTCCTTCTCACCTAAGAACACAAGAGCACGAGAAAAGCATGCTGGACCAGAGCAGTGGTCCACCCAGTCCAGCGGGAGCACCAGCTGGGACTGACACAACCCCACGCCCCCCGCCTCCTCCCCATCCTTCTCTCCGCCGCCACCAAGGCCCAGTTGCCACTGGGGGAGGGCAGTGGGCACAGTTCTTCCCATGCTAGCTCCGAGGGGGCAGGAAAGGGCCCCAGACTCATAGGATCTGAAGAATCTTTCATGATAGCAGAACATCAAAGTGTTGCCTCCTAAGGAAAACAGCCATATGTGAGACTGGGAGGAACCCTGTTGGAATCCAGCCCTTCCTCTTGCACTCAGCCTGGTCTTCAAAGCAAGCCAGACTGGGAGGAAGCCCACGGCTGTGCAGCTGGCGACCTTCTTCCACACCAGATGCTGCCCCCCAAATGGCAGCTGCAGTCCGTCCGTGTGGGAGATGGGCACTTAATGGGACTTAATTCCTGGTGAGCACCCCATGAATGCCGGGCATGCCCACCAGCAGCTCGGGCTCCGGGGCGCTGCAAGGCAGATCAGAGTCGGGGAGCCGAGCCCAGAGTCCCACCCCCAGACTGATGCCTCACACATCCCTAGCCATATGCAAACGTGTTTGGGGAACAGAAATAAAATGCTACTGGGTTGCGTGAAGCATGCCCAGGACCATGGTGCCAGCAGCGGAAGCCTGCACAGAGGTGCCCACTGCCAGCCCCATGGCTCACCCCCGTCCTAGCCCAGCTGTTTACGATCTGCTCCTGTTGCCAGTGAAGAATGGGCAATCTGAACAGCAACAGTCCCATATCATGCATATCATGCATTTCTCAGGAATCGGGGGGTGGGGGGAGATGCAGAATCCGGGCAGAGCACCTGCTTCATTCTTTGGCAATTCCAATGGCCAGTGAGCCAGTGTGGCGTGGTGGTTAAGAGCACGGGACTGGGACTCAGGCGATCTGGGTTCTAGTCCCCGCTCGGCCATGGAGCCCACTGGGTGACTTTGGGCCAGTCACAAACTCTCAGCCCAACCTACCTCACAGGGCTGTTCTTGTGGGGATAAGATGGAGGAGATGTGAGCTGCCTTGAGCCCTTTGGGGGAAAAGGCAGGATATAAATCGAAAAATAAATAAATAAATAGATAAATAAATTCCATTAAACATTCTAGTGATGAACTTGAGCTCCTTCGAATCCTGGCGAGCTGCCATGACGCAGCACTGGACTAGATGGGCAAACAGGCTGACTTAGCAAACAACTGTCGATCCAACAGGAGCAGAGTCAACCACTCAGATCCCCAAAGATCACAAAGTAGCTGGCAATTTTGTGACCAACACCAAGGCCCCGAGCTCACCGTTTCCTCTTCCTTGCTGAGCAGTTTGGCACAAGAAAGGAAATCTTCGTATTTGGAATAAGGGATAACCGGCTCTGGCAGTTCTCTGAGGTACAGTTTCAGCAGCGATGCCACTGTGTGAACATCGGTATTTCTGCGGAGATGGAGCAGACATGATTACCGTTGGAAACGTAACACCTGGGATGTGATTGTCTGTTGTGGATCTCCTCGAACAAGGCTGAAGAAAGTAGAGCCAGCAGAGCAGGAAAATAAGCACTAACGATCAGGGAAATCGCTAATTCCATGAAACAATGTCTCCATTCATTCCCTTTGTGAATTGGCTAAGCAGAGTGATGGTTGGTTGCCTAGTCCTAAATGGAGAAGAAGGTTAAGCAATGCCAGTCAAAGCTATTCTGCTGCTGCTGCCACTGCTAAAACCGATCAGAGAAGGGGCCTGCTATGCCAGACCGAAGGGTCGGTGAGGCTGGAGTCAGATGCTCCAGAAGGGCCCTGTGAGCAAGGCAGGAAGGCCACATGCTTCCCCTGCTTGCTGCTTGCTGCCTCCACATCAACTGACATCAGGGATCAGCACAACTGGGCAGCTGCTGGGCCACAGCCCATCCTGGGAGGGTCCTTGGTGGCCACACCCCTGCAGCATCCTGGCCCACTCCTCTCTCCTTGCTACGGAGGCCTGCCCACATGCCCTCTTCACACCACTGCGTGGGTGGACCGTGGAGAGTGCCTCATCCACCCCTTGGAAGGCGTTGCCGGCTGGGCCTGGAGGGAGGAGAGAAGGGGAGGCCACCCAAGTGGCTCGAGCACAGTGAGGGGGCTCACAAGAGCTTCGTGCCCAGCGCCTGCCCCAAACCTGAAGCCAGCACTGATTGGTGGCACTGGACACGGAGGGCCCGTTTGGCCACCACGGCAAAAGCAGTCTCTTCTCCTCTTGTATGCAGCCACCTAATCTCCTCGGAAGGTTTTCTGAGCCAGTGGCCCTCACCGCAAAACTCCAAGCGCTACTTTTGCCCTGCATGAAGAAATGCTTCCATGTGCCAAGAAATCTGCTGCCAATTAATTCCACCTCATCATGGACAAAAAGGGGTAAATGCACCCCTTAAAAACATGAACCAGCGAGGGTAAATTTGCATGTGCTCGGTTCTATGTATTTACAGATGCAAATGTAGAAATAATTATTATAACTGAAATAGTCACGGGCTCCAGCTCAGCAGTGGGTACATGGCTATGGCTGGAAGGCCACCAGTTCCGTTGCTAACAGAGGCGAGAATCCTGATGAAGCTTTAGCTTTAAACCAGAAATGGACAGAACAGCCCTTTAAACACAGGACAGTTCTCTGTAAAAAAGGGCAGAGGGCCACTGCAATTCCATCAGGTCTCTCCACATTCATTAGACTGGAAGCAAGAACGCTCTTCTTCTGAATCATGCGCACTTCTTGGCAAATGTGGATTGCTGAGACTTAAATGTACGTTCTGATGCCTTTTTTACTGAGCCAGCCAGGCGGGTCAAAAGCTTTGCGCAGGGTGCAGTATTGCAGATGAGCACTAGATGGTGCTGTTGTAAAAAGAGATTGTACGCAATACCTTCCCCCAGGCCAAAGACACTTTCATTTGGTGTAGAGTATTACTGCTGTAGTGGTCTTAATGAGAATTCTCAGGGTGGATTGTGCGCCCACCTAATGAGATGTGAGCTGTCGCTAAAGCAGAGCTTGCTTTCTAAAATGGAGATGCCGGGTTTTCAAATCTGCTTCAGAGTCAGCTTCCCGGAGATTTTCCCCCTCCAATCACACATATGAGAGCCATTTCTGATACTTTGAGGGACGGCTCGGGCTGAATGGAAGCAGGGGGAATCTGTAAGGGAAAGAGCCCTGCCTGGGTCTTCTAGCAGGGGCAAAGATGTGCCCTTTTCAGTGTGACTCGTACGGAAAGCATCACACATCACTCCTGCTTTGGCAAAGGGGGCTGGCTTCATATTGTGGCTTGCACTGCTTCGGTCAAAGTGCTGCAACAGCCGTTTTGCAGCACAATGTACAGTTTGTGTGTGTGTGTGTGTGTGTGTGTGTGCGGGGGGAGACTGAATGGTGTTGCAGGTCACTTCTGCTGGCCATTGAAATGGCAGCAAAAGAGGCAATCCAAAACACGTCTTCTAATGCAACCTCACCCCTCTCTGCACTCACTTTAACAAATGCAGAGGTATCGGTACCAATTATGCAGCAATTTTGCAACTCTTTTCAAAAAAACATTGTCCCCTTAAAATGGCACAGTTCCCTGTGAAAACAAAACCCCATAAAATGTTGCTACAGCCCTGGTCAAATGCACTTTCCCCGTCTTTGATATTGCACAAAATACTGTTTGGTGTTCCTAGATTAAAAAGCCCTGGACTAAGACCCTGTTGCCCCTAGAACAAATTGCCACCCCGTTTGTACTAGACTCTTTTAAAAAATGGTCTTTCATTCCCCTCTTCCCTAACTGCTGGGTGGACATCAAATGCTAAGCAAAAGAGTTCATGTTTGCAAGAGAGAGAGACTCATTGCCACTGTTTGTGTTGCCACACCAGGAAGGCACGCCATGGACACAGCTTGGCACAGATGACATGTTTGGAAGTTTTCAGGAAAGTAAAATGATTTTGCCTCTGGTGCCAGTGTGATATCATGGGCAGCAAATAAGTTATTGAACCCTGAATGAAAAGACCCACATTCAAATGGCTAATCATCCAAACTACCTCACCAAGTTCTTGGGATGATTGAGATAGGATTATGCCACATATCTGACTCTAAATGCTTTGGAGGAAAGGTCCAGAGGAAAAATATGCCATGGCATAATCCCCAGAGCTGCCGGCCATCAGTGCCACTGGAGGGAGGCACTGCGCATGCGCATGGTCTTGCTCACACATGCACTTTTATTCTGAAAAGCCCCTAATCCTCAGGTAGGCACTTCTGCCTCTGGCCAGCTGCTGGTTGCACCTGAACCTTTCCTTGCCTCTGCTCCCAAGGGCTGGTTACCGCATACCTCTGCACATGAACGAGAGGCAACTCCACCATGCACATTTGGGGATGCTGACTGATTTGCTTCCGGATCCTGCAAGCTGCACCTCCATGACGCTTCGTTTGGGGGGCACCAGGTCATTTTCTGAAGGTGAGTCCACCAGAGCAGGCAGGACATCCATAAGCACAGTCTTCTAAACTACAGTTGGCTTCCATGCCTTCTTCTGGAATGGCCAGTGTTTTGTTTCCCTTCACAGCAACTATCCAATATCCTCTCTTAGCTGGCCAGATAAACATGCTCTTTAAAAACCACTTTGCTGCTCCATCAAACCACAGGCCTGGGAAATGGGTTGTTTGCATTGAGTTCTGCTGTCCAAAAGAAGATGCTACCACAAAACTTTTAGGATGTTGGCGTAACAGTGCCTATCACAGCCAGTCATGTCTAAATCCCTTGTTGTAACTACGGCAAGCCAGCTATTTGGGCTGATTAGCACAGAATTTAATTAAACAGAACATGCCCCAAGGATTTTCTAAATTCTTGGCCTGTGGGCATCGTCCTCGCTGCCCCGTTCCCCTCCCCTTTAAATAGTTATGCTTGCATAGCCATAAGCTGATAGCAGAGACTGAGAGAGAGAGAGAGGAGTCAATTGTTCGTTTTATTGTCCAGCAGAATACCCAGTGTCACCGGCCTGTAAGCTGTCCTAAGAATATAATATGAAGGATTTGTATGTGTTCAAACAGTCACAAATCCTTTCCTTTTCAATCAGACAGCACAGATTCAGAGCTCTTTTCATGGCAGCCCCGGTTGCCTCTGACTTCCTTCCCAGCATCTGCAGCGTCAACTTTTTCCCTCTTTTTTGCTTTGTGGTATCACGAGCATTGCGGAAATGCCTATCAGGCCAATTATACAGGCTGGAGGCAGCTGGGGAGGGGGGTGTCCTGTCTCTTCCCATGCAAGAAATGAAGAAGCACAGCAGGGCACTGTAAAAGCAAGTTTCACATTTGTCAGCAAACTTGTCAGCACCCCGAAATGTGTTTGTTGCATCACAGCTGGCATCTGGGGAAAGCCACTGGAGGGAGCAATCTAGTGGGTTTTGGACAGGGCCATAGGGAATTCCATTTTCCCAGATCTGGGCATTTTGAAAGGCAGGGAGGGGAAGAGACCAGAGAGGCCTGGATACAAGCTATTCTGCAGCCTCTCCAGTCTCATTCTCTCTCCATCCAAGCTTCTCCTGGTAGATCGTGAAAAAACACAACTAGCAAAAGAGCAGTGTCACCACTGTTCCTCCTTGCTCTGTGTCCATTGCCCGCAAACCTCGGAGTTCAGTGGATCATCACATGCATTGTGATAGGACTGAGCCCATGGCTGATCTCAAGCAGCATAAGGTCATTCCAAAAGGAAATGAATATTCAGCCCGTTCACATACCTTTGGACGCGTATGTGTATCTCCTAGGGCGGCCTTTTCCAGTGGGCTGCCTTCCAGATATGGTAGACTGTAATGCTCAGCAGCCTCATTCACCATGTCCAGTGCCTCCAGAATGCAATGCTGACATGATTGCTTTAGGAAATCAAAAAGGTTGCTGGCTTCCTCAAGCTTGGCCCGGATTGCACTGAGGTTCCGATGTTTCGAAAAGCTATCTGGAAGTGTCCCGATTTTTCTAAAGCGGAAGCATTGTATCTGTGCACCAGCTGGTTTATTTAGAAGGCACCCTCACAGCATCCTAGTTAGACCCTGAGGCCAGCAACCCTATATACTTTTGGAGGAAGTTGTATGGGGCTACCACATGCCCAAATATCCAAGGACATTTCCAAACATAGAGGTGAAGTTATAGCTCTGCTCTTGTTAAGATTTCAGAGTACTATTAAAACATTTTTTCCCACTGCATAAAACTACAATATTTCATAGAATGCGAGCTCACCTCTTGGTACATCTCAAAAAGGCCCTCCCTGTTTCCTTGCTCTTTGAGGGAAAACCCAAATGTAGGCAAATTGATTTGCCTCCCCATCAAAGCGCTTCATGACCCTACCCTTTTTGATATGGATCACTTACCAAGCAGTTGCCTTCCCAGCCAAGTCTGCATCTTCACTGCTTTCTGGCGATGGACAAATCCACCACTTTTCTCCTACATTTCGTTTTTTTGAACTTCAAGTTCTT